TCATGGAGGAGGTAGGACGTGCTGGGCCTTGAAGGATGGCTAGGATTTGATGAGGCCAAAAAGGACCTGTGGAAAGGAATAAGCTTGGAGCCTTCTGGATACATTTCAGAGCCTGGTCCAGTGAAGGATTTCTGTTGGGTGGCAGTGGTTAGATATACTTGTAACATTCATGGAGAGTTTGTAATGCTCAGCTAAGGAGTTTGGACATAAGCCAATATAAAGATTAAAGAATGGTTGGGGATTTTTGAGCATAGAATTTCTGCATTTGTGGGAACCTTGGAAATCAGTCTATGTTCTTCAATTTACAGAAAGATGGACTTGCCCAAAGTTACAAAGCTAGCTACTGGAACAAATAGGACTGGAACCCAGGTCTCTTGATTTCCAGTTCAATTCTCTTTCTGTGGCACTGTAGTCTTTTCCAACAAATTAGTAGTTAGGTTATTTTAATTAAACAAGTGTTTATTAAGTGTATATTGTGCCTGATTGAGGCTATTGACAGAATGGAAAGGATGAACCTAAGAGACATTTTGACAGTCTTTCTGGGCATCCAATTTCCTCATCTGCAGAAGGGGGACAATTATTTTTCCCATCTTCCCACCACTGAGATCAGTGGGGAGGAGGGGCTTAGGAGAATCAAGGGCACATCCAAACCACTATGGCCCTTTATGCTTGCTTTCCTATTTCTTTTCTGCCCACATTCTTGTGTGACCCAGGGCTTTTCCAACATTTTGCCAACAGAGATGTGGAGACATAGCTGATCTGGAGGTGAGTGGTGTTGGAAACTTTTGCCAGAGAGAGAATACAAGTTAGCTAACTGTTTAGAACCTGATTTCTGAGTATCATCTTTTAAATTACTGCTGACCTCTGGGCTTGATGCCCTGACTATCCCTTTGGGTTGTACTTGTGGGAATGTCAAGAGAAAGTAGACATGAAGTGTCCATGAAAGTCTCTCCCCTCAGACTAGGAGCTTCCTAAGGCTAGGACTAAATCTGTTTTTTTTTTTCTTCCTTCCTTCCTTCTTTTATTCCTTCCTTCCTTCCTTCCTTCCTTCTTTCCTCTCTCCCTCCCTCTCTTCCTCTCCCTTCCTCTTTCCCTCCCTCCTTCCACCATCTCTCTCTCTCTTTCTCTCTCTTTCTCTCTCTCTTTCTCCTCTTTCTCTCTCTCCCTCTTCCCCTCTCAAAATCCAGGTTCCTGTATAGTAGAGGTTTGGGAAGAAAGTNCTATTTCTCTCCCTCTTCCCCTCTCAAAATCCAGGTTCCTGTATAGTAGAGGTTTGGGAAGAAAGTACTGTGGAGGAACCACTAAATTTATAGCTCCTGCACCAGGCGAGGGTTCCAACAGCTCTTGCCCAAGTCCTCAAGAAAATGCTGTACCAAGTGCTCCATCTAACGTGCTGAAGGTTTTTTTCTAGATCTCTTGAAATTGTGAAGGTAACGATAGAACTCAGAGACTGCTCATCGGTACATTACCAGCCTGCCTTTTTTCCTGGTCATACATTTCTTTGCTAATATGCTATTTTAGGCTATTTCTCTGGTGCAATTCTTTGTTGATCAATATGCCATAACCCCCTCACATGCACTGTGCATTTTCTTATTGCTCTCTGGATAACTCTGCCTAGGATACAGAAGGAGAAACCGAGGTCAGGAGCTGTGACAAAGCATTGGCTGAAGGTCACTGCTTCCAGCAGGATGGGATTCAAGTCTGGCACATGGAACACAGAGAAAGTTAAAAACAGCCTCATGTCCTGGAAGTTTGTTCCCAGAAATACGGGTGAGGACATGGAGTCCCCATCCTTGCTCCAACTCCTTCCAAACCACTGGGGAAGGAGGAGGAGCAACTCATTGGATGAGGGTGGGAAACCCCTAAGTCCTCTGAGACTGCTTCTTTCTTATCCTTACTTGGCAGGTAAATGTATAATTGTGAGGAGGAAGGGAGAAAGGGGAGATTAGAGGTGGATATGAAATAATGCAGGCATGGGTTTTGGGAATGATGGAATAGGGAGTTGAGGGAAGAGAAGGGAAAGATTAGAAAATGGGAATGGATGGGGAGATGGAGAAATGGAGATCTGGAGGATAGAGACTTGCAAAGATGGGGATATGAAAAGAAATAGGTATGGGGAAAGGAAAAGACAGAGAAATGGAAGAGAATGATCAATAGGGACCAGGGTCCAGGATAAGCAAGATTTTTCTCCCCCAAAATCCAGATCCCATGCTTCATCACGTAGTGGTTCTCAAAGGTTTTGCCAGCAGAGTATAATCCTCTTGATGGACCTGAAGGTTGCATTTATGGACTGTGTATCTATTATGTGTATACTAGTCTGCCTGAGTCTGGGGAGACTGCTCACCAGGTTGCCCAAAAGGGGTGAATTTTTCAGTCATAGGAAATTAGGGAGAATAGCTCATCAGTTGTAGAAGGGTTACCTTCTGCCTAAATGGAAGGAATAGTCACAGCAGAGGAAATTATAGGTCCTGAAAATACTGAAGCAAGCTCTCAACCCTGTGTTATTGCCCGAAGATGGGGATGAACCTTCTTTGGAATGCATGTAACTTGACTTATCAGGCAAAATTTTCTGGCATTAAAATTTGTACTTAAAAAAATTATGCTAAACGTGTCCCTCATTGCACTCTAGGAGGTTGCCTACTTTGCCAGGGTTCTAGCACTATGGGGACACAGAAGGTATGTAGGAGATGGAGACAAGGAAGTGGGGGAGGGGCTGTGGAATGGAATCTTGGAATGGGGAGGTGGGGAATTGGGAGCTATGGGGAGATGAGGGAGGGGATGGAGACATGAGAGCGTGAAGTGATGAAAATAATAAGCAGTGCGTGCAGTCTTTTCCTTCGAAAGTTCCCTTTTGACATGGGGTGGGGGTGGGGTGTATGGTGGAGGAAGAAGGAGGAAGGGAATAAGAAGATGGAGACAAGAGGAGGGGGTGGGAGCTTGGGTTTGCGTTAGGCGCTCTCAGCTCTCCTCTCGCTCCAGTCCAGTCCAAAAAGGTGCTCCCCCTTCTCCTGGCATTGATATGCAAATGTTTAGTCTCCAGCTTTGAGCCTAGTGCTCGGCAGTTGCGTTTGAATAAGAAAAGAAGCTATCTGGAAGCTCAATCCCGACCTGGGAGGCCTCCCAACCGGCCCTGCACACCGCACCCTATCACTGCCGGGTCCACGTCCCAACCCAGCTCCGTGGACCTAGCCAATCCCTGTTCCGATCCCTTCTCCCTAAACGGTCCTGTGAGCCGGTAGCAAACGGTGCGAAAACCTCATTTCCTTTTTCTAGATTCTGTCCCGAGATTTCAGCCC